AGGAGGAGGAGGGGAGGAGGAGGAGGAGGAGGAGGGGGAGGAGGAGGAGGGAGGAGGGGGAGGGAGGAGGAGGAGGAGGAGGAGGAGGAGGAGGAGGAGGAGGAGGAGGAGGAGGAGGGGAGGAGGAGGAGGAGGAGGAGGAGGAGGAGGAGGAGGAGGAGGAGGAGGAGGAGGAGAAGGAGGGAGGAGGAGGAGGAGGAGGAGGAGGAGGAGGAGGATGAGGAGGAGAGAGGAGGAGGAGGAGGAGGAGGAGGAGAGGAGGGGGGAGGAGGAGGAGGAGGAGGAGGAGGAGGAGGAGGCGGTGGAGGAGGCGGAGGGGGAGGAGGAGAGCCTTTTCAAGGCGGGCGGGCGGCAACGGGGGGCAGTCATCGGAAGCAGGCGTCGAGGATCGCGGGGTGCCGGTGGCCCCCTCCGCTGGCCCCAGCAGGTAGACGAAGGGTGCACGCTTCTTCGCCCCGCGTGTACACGTTAGTCGTTTCTCAGGAGGGAAGACAAAAGCCCAGAAAATGCGGGAACACATGGGGAATCCGGTTATTTGTGTCTATTTATGTTTGTGTCTCAGGGCTTCTTCAGTTTCTACTTCTTCGATAGTTCTTTGATGTTTTTGGGGGCCAAGATCCTTTTATTTCTGGTTGTTCTTTCCTGGGCCGCCAGGGGGCCTGGAACAACAGAAACGAGCACAACTAGAAATGAGCACAAATTAGAAATGAACGACGTGCACTGCCCCCTCCGTTGACAAACAGCGGATAGAAGAAGCATGCCTGATCGGCGGACGCCATTGGCTCTTCGGTGGCTCGCGCCCCTGGCCCGAGAGAAGCTCCCTGGAGACCTCCCGAGTCCGGAGGCAGCTCCGAGAGAGGCCCTTGCGCCGCCTCCCGGGGCCCAGGCGGGCGCTGCGGCAGAGGCCGCGGCCCGCACCGTCAGCGGCGGAGCGCTGTGGCTGATGACTGGCCTTGCGTTGCCTGACAGCGCTCGTGGCCGCCTCGAGCATTTTGTTTGCGCTGTGTTGAGTTACGCCGAGGAGAGACATCGCCACAGGCACAAACCTTCGGAGCTCCGCCCGGACCTCCGACGGAGTATGGTTAAGTGCGGGTTTCCGCTATTTCGCTATGCGTGTCATGCGAGTTACGTTTGTACATCAGAGTGATGGGGCCGAGCGGTCATTCACTGTCCCTGGGCGCGTGGCTGAAGTGAGGTTCTGCGGTGCGAATTGTTGTTGTTTGTTGTTGTTTGTTGTCGTTGTCCCCCCCGCGACCTGGCCCGCGACCCATCCGCGACCCACCCCGCGACCCACCCGCACTGCTTGAACGAAAAATCGGCGCCTGCGGCGGGCTCGTTGCAGACATTGTAAAAATTAGGCGCCTGCGGCGGGCTTGTTTAGAGCCTCGCAGACTGCCGACGTCCTCGCTACCCCCTCACTCTTAGCCGCAACTGCCGGTTGCTACGTATTCTTCAAGGTCGCGCCGTGTGATTGCTTGTAAGCTTGACGCGCACGTAGTCAAGGCTGTATCGTAAGTGCGTGCGCTCATATGTCATTCACACAGTGCGTGCAGGGCTTGGAAATCAAGGTGTTGCTTAATCAGTCTCTGCGAGACCCGCATGTGTCGCCACGGCTGTTCACCAATCAGGTGTTCACAAGCTGAGGGCGAAAGACCTAGTTGGAACGCTTCCTCCACCTCTTCACCCTCCGCCTCCGCCTCCTCCCTTTCCCCGCCCTCCTTTTACCCCCCCCACTGCCCGCAGCTGTTTTGGCCGAAGCTCCTCTTGCTCCAGCTGCCAGACCCAGATCTCCGACGTCGTGTTTTTCCCAACCATCCTGTGGTGTTGGGTCGTCGTTTTGAAGAGACGGTCCCCGCGTTTCACCCACCCAGTATTGCGTTTCGTGGCCCCATAGGGAGCTCCACCGAAGGCGCCAGTGCCACCGTCCGCATGCGTCACGAAACATCTAATTTGGCATGCTCCCCCACCCAGTACATCGTTTCGTGGCCCCACAGGGGGCTCAACCGAAGGCGCCAGTGCCACCGTCCGCATGCGTCCCGAAACATCCAATTTGGAATTTTCACCCACCCAATACGGCAGCGTTTCGTGGCCCCGTGGGGAGCCCCACCGATGGCCCCAGTGCCACCGTCCGCATGCGCCCCGAAACAGCCAATCTTGCATTTTCGCACGCCCAGCACAACGTTTCGTGACCCCATAGGGAGCTCCACCGAAGGCCCCAGTGCCACCGTCCGCATGCGTCCCGACACATCCAATTTGGCATTTTCACCCACCCAGCACAACGTTTCGTGGCCCCATAGGGAGCCGCACCGAAGGCCCCAGTGCCACCGTCCGCATGCGTCCCGAAACAGCCAATTTTGCATTTTCGCAAACCCAGTGCAGCGTTTCGTGGCCCCGTGGGGAGCCCCACCGATGGCCCCAGTGCCACCGTCCGCATGCGTCCTGGAACATGCAATTTTGCAGTTTCATCCACCCAATAAGGCGTTTCGTGGCCCCATAGGGAGCTCCACTTAAGGCCCCAGTGCCGCCATCCGCGTGTGTCCCGACACATCCAATTTGGCATTTTCACCCACCCAGTACAGCGTTTAGGGAATTCCACCGAAGGCCCCAGTGCCACCGTCCGCATGCGTCCCGAAACATCCAATTTGGTAGTTTCACCCACCCAGTAGGACGTTTCGTGGCCCCGTAGGGAGCTCCACCGAAGGCCCCAGTGCCACCGTCCGCATGCGTCCCGAAACATCCAATTTGGCATTTTCACCCACCCAGTGCAGCGCTTCGTGGCCCCATATGGAGCTCCACCGAAAGCCCCAGTGCCACCGTCCGCATGCGTCCAGAAACATTCACTAATACAGCGTTGCGTGGCCCCATGGGGAGCTCCACCAAAGGCCCCAGTGCCAGCGTCCGCATGCGTTCCGAAACATCCAGTTTGGAATGTTCACCCACCCAGCACAGCGTTTCGTAGCCCCATAGGGAGCTCCACCGAATGTTCCAGCTCTACCGCCCGCATGCGTCCCCCCACCCAGTACAGCGTTTCGTGGCCCCATGGGGAGCTCCACCGGCGGCCCCAGTGCTACCGCCCGCGTGCGTCCCCCCACCCAGTACAGCGTTTCGTGGCCCCATGGGGAGCTCCACCGGCGGCCCCAGTGCTACCGCCCGCGTGCGTCCCCCCACCCAGTACAGCGCTTCGTGGCCCCATAGGGAGCTCCACCGACGGCCCTAGTGCTACCGCCCACATGTGTCCCCTCCACCCAGCGTTTCGCCTCATAGGGAGCCCCACCGAAGGCCCCAGTGGTACCGCCCGCAGGCGTCCCTCCACCCAGTACAGCGTTTCGTGGCCCCACAGGGTGCTCCACCGAAGGTTCTAAGTCTACCGCCCGCATGCGTCCCCCCCACCCAGTGCAGTGCTTCGTGGCCCCATAAGGAGCTCCACCGACGGCCCCAGCGCTACCGCCCGCGTGCGTCCCCCCCACCCAGTACAGCGCTTCGTGGCCCCATGGGGAGCTCCAACGACGGCCCCAGTGCTACCGCCCGCATGCTCCCGCCCACCCAGCGTTTCGTGGCCCCATACGGAGCTCCACCGACGGCCCCAGTGCTACCGCCCGCATGCGTCACCCCCACCCAGTACAGCGTTTCGTGGACCCATAGGGAGCTCCACCGAAGGTTCCAAGTCTACCGCCCGCATGCGTTCCCCCAACCAGTGCAGCGCTTCGTGGCCCCATAGGGAGCTTCACCGAAGAAGATCTTCACAATTGCGGTACCCACAACTGCATATGGTTGGGTCCTTCGCCAGGGCAATTTCCGCAGCGTGGGCCCTTCCAGGCGTCTGGACCCCTTCCTGGGGCCAGGCTTTCGCCAAACGCAGTTTTTTGACGGCCCTGAGGCCCAGCGACGGCACCCCGGGGGCCGAAACAAGAGCACGCCTCCCGTCGTGATTTTTAGCGATGAGGGGGCGTCTGGAGCCCGAGGGTCACAAGTTGATCCCCGTGCCATGAGGGGTGCGCTCCGGCCAACGACTCGAGGCGGTTCCAGCCTTGGCCACGAGGAGGCCCAGAAGTTGCCGAAACGCGCCAGACCCCAAGCCCTGATCCTCGAACTGCGACCTCGGATCTCGGCCAGCCCCGACGCACTAGCCCTTGCTTAGGATGCAGCTCCTGGGAGATTAGATTCAGCATCGGCGCTGGTATATCCGTGGCATAATCCCATTTGGTTGCAATTAATCCCGCGCAATCCAACTCAATCTCGGGCTGAATTTGGCTTCCTGGCGTCGTAGTAATAGTAGTTATGGTAGTCGTAGTAGTAATAGTCGTAGTAGTAGTAGTAGTAGTAGTAGTAGTAGTAGTAGTAGTAGTAGTAGTAGTAGTAGTAGTAGTAGTGGTAGTAGTAGTAGTAGTGGTGGTCGTAGTAGTAGTAGTAGTAGTAGTAGTAGTAGTAGTAGTAGTAGTAGTAGTAGCAATAGCAGTAGCAGTAGCAGTAGCAGTAGCAGTAACAGTAGCAGTAGCAGTAGTCGTAGTCGTAGTAGTCGTAGTAGTAGTAGTAGTAGTAGTAGTAGTAGAGTTAGTAGTAGTAGAGTTAGTAGTAGTAGTAGTAGTAGTAGTAGTAGTAGTAGTAGTAGTAGTAGTAGTAGTAGTAGTAGCAGTCGTAGTACGTAGTAGTAGTAGTAGTAGTAGTAGTCGTAGTAATAGTAGTAGTAGTAGTAGTAGTAGTTTTAGTAGTAATAGTAGTAGTAGTAGTAGTAGTAGTAGTAGTAGTAGTAGTAGTAGTAGGAGTAGTAGTAGTAGTAGTAGTAGTAGTAGTGGTGGTGGTGGTGGTGGTGGTGGTGGTGGTGGTGGTGGTAGTAGTAGTAGTAGTAGTAATAGTAGCAGCAGCAGCAGCAGCAGCAGCAGCAGCAGTAGTAGTAGTAGTAGTAGTAGTAGTAGTAGTAGTGGTCGTAGTAGTAGCTCAATAGCTCTAAATCGTTCTTGCGAAGACCTCCCAGAGGCTGCCTCCTCACCCTGCCCGGCACGATGGCGGCCCGCCGCTCGTCCTCGCGCCTCGCCGCGGCCGCGCTGTGCCTGGCGGCCGCGTGGTGCCTGGCCAGCCTCGCGGCGCTCGCGTTCGTGCCCTCGCCGGCCGCGCCCGCTGGGGGCAGCGCCGTTGCGCCAGCCCGCGCGGCCCAGGTTGGAGACGAAGGAAGCCCAGACATGCCCGCGTCGTAAAAGAATCGCGACGAGTGGGTTTTGGCCGTTTTCGGCTTTTGGGGGCACTTGGGCCTCGGGACCGTTAAAGAGTGACTCGGGATGAGAAGCCAGCCCTGGGAGAAGCGTCGGGACTTCTGGGGACCGCGTGCGGAACGAATCAAGGCATCGCCTGTCTGGGACAAGGTCCTGAGGGAAACGGGTCCCGAGGCTTGCCGTGTTTTCGCGCCCCCAGGGCCCTCCGAGGGCCTCGGGACCGTCGAGAAACGGCCCAGGATAGAGCTGGTCCTGGGCGAAGGCCCCGGGGCTCAGGGCCCTCTTCCCTCAGGGCCAGCTTCCTTCGTGGTGACCAGGTGGCGGCGCTCACCGCGGCGCTCGCGGCGCCCGAGGCCGCCCACGCGGCGAATCAGGGGTACGCGGTGCTGCAGCTGGGCTGGGCGGTCTTCATCATCGGCCTGGGCCCGGCGGTGCTGTTCTGGATCTACTTCAACAAGCCGGAGCTGCTGTGAGCGCGCCCCCCGCGGAGGGACCTCCCCCCCCCTGCCGCCCGCCCTGCGGGGCCACGGGGCGGCGCGGGGCGGGAGGTGGCGCCCTGGGGCACGCAGCCCCAACGCGGCTGCGACCTGTGCAGTGTTTTTTTGTGCACCTGCTCACCGCCCACCAAACCACGCCAACCCAACCCGAAGGCCCCGATTTGCCTTCCATTTCCAGTGGGGAGGGGGGTCGGGGGAACACTGGAAAACATATGAATCCCGTCCCCCCCCGACCCGAAATTCGGGTCTTCGGGTTGGATTGGGATGGTCTGGTAGGTAGTCACCAGCGGGCTCCCGCTCCTTCTCCGCCTCCGCCGCCTCCTTCTCCTCCTTGCTGTGCGCCTCCCCGGAGGGCGACGGCGCGTCCCCCGGTGCCCGCAGAGAGAGCGCCGTGCGGGGGGAGGGGGGCGAGCAGGGCCGCGGCGCGGGCAGCGGCGGCGACAGAGCGGCCAGCGACGAGCGTCGGGCGGCGGGCGGCGGGGGCGGCCTTCTCTCTTGGCAGCCCAGTCAAGAGCCACATCTGCTGCGAATGCGCGAGTGGTTCTATCAGAATTGGTGTGTCTACCACCTTTCACGGTTTACTGGTTACTTATACCAAGTTCGGATGTATCTCAACAGGCCTGGCTCGGTTCTTATGGGTACATGTCAGCCAGCGTGGACCCCACACAGTGTACTTCTAACAGAGTGTGTTGTGCAATATATGCGGAGTAATCGATGTGGTGCAATCTGTGCGATGCGATCTATTTAGTGCAATCTATTTTTTTTTGCGGTCTATGCTGTGCAATCGATGTTCTGCATTCTATGTTGTGCGATCCAGGTTGTGCAACATTTGCGGTGCAACATATGTGGTGCGATGTATGTTGTGCAATCTATGTTGTGCGATCTAGGTGGTGCAATATATGTGGTGCGATCTGTGTTGTACAATATATGTGTTGCTGTCTATGTTGTGCAATTGATGTGGGGCAATCGATTTTTATTAATGATTTGACACATCCCATGCTCTTGCAAACATCCCACCCACCCACCCGCAACTTGGTTTGCAAAACCCATTCGGTGGCGATTGCGATGCATGCTTGGCGTTGGCTGGTGCATTTCTGCGGCCGCGCCAACCCTAGCACGCGCGCGCAGCGGCCAGCCAATTTGGCGCCACCGACGCGGCCGCGGTGGCTCTGACCGCTGGGCGCATCCCAGCGGGCACTTCAATGCGAGGCGGCGACTTGGGCGGGCGCGGTATCATGGCAACGCCGACTGCGGTAGACGCGATGATTATACGAGCGATGCTGGTGGCGATGTTCGCACCGACGAAGGCGCGGCCAGTGCGGGCGCCGATGTCGATCACGCCGACGATGACGGCGTCCTCGCGTCGGCGATGGAAGTTTTGGAAAGAGTTCGACATGCGCGCGCGGCCGACGCGCGAGAGTGGCCCGCATTGTATTATTTGAAACGGATCGTGCCCCCCCCAGCACGCGCGCAAGGGCGTGCGAATGATGTCGGCATGCGGCGCCAGAGGCCCGCTTGGCAGAATTCCATGAATATGTTGAAAAGCGCAAGGTTTTCGTAAGACTTCGCAAGAGCGCGCGTGCAAACTTCTTTTGGAAACGGGTGCTGCGAAACCTTCTGTATTGGATTTTTTTTGGACACTCGATTTTGAAATCGTTACGAAGCCGAAGGCTTTTCAAGCATTTCGGCTTGCGAGCGCGAGGACGCGCGCGCGCACTTCGCTTCTTTTTTTGCGAAGGATTCTCGCCACTGCGCACGCGCAAGTGCGTTCGAACGATTTGGACATGCACGCGCGAAAACCGTTCGGTCGCATTTTTTGAAACAGTTGAATAACCCATGGTATCTGAAGAAGTCGCAAGAGCGCGCGCACAAGTTTTTTTCGTTTGTTGGAAATCCGTGTTGCGAGACCTTCTGTTTTATATATACATATATATATACACCTATACGACCACCCTTCGGGTGATAAGGAGGTTCTGGTGGTGGTGGGGGGGAAGGGGGGGAACCAACAGCTGGTTCAATCGATCTCACTATCGATTTCACTCGATGGGACACCACCGGGACACAACGGGACACCACGGGACACCACCGGACACTTGTCGATCTCACAATCGATTTCACTCAAACGGGACACCACGGGACACCACGGGCCAGCATGGGACATCACGGGACACCGCGGGACACCTCTCGATTTCATTATCGGTCCCAGTATCGATTTCACGATCGATCTCACTCAGCGGGACACCATAGGACACCACGGGACACCTCGGGACACCACAGCGATCTCACGATCGATCTCACGATCGGTCTCATTATCGATCTCAGTCAACGGGACACCACGGGACACATCGGGACACGTGTCGATCTCACTATCGATTTCACTATCGACCTCACTTAGCGGGACACCACGGGACACCACGGGACATCTGTCGATCTCATTATCGATCTCACGATCGATCTCACTCAAAGGGACGCCACGGGACACCACGGGACACCTTGGGGCACCACATCGATTTCATTACTGATCTCACTATCGATCTCACGATCGATCTCACTCAACGGGACACCCCGGGACACCACGGGAGGAGGAGAAACATTTGGTCCGGCCGCGGCCCAGCCACGGGAGGATTTCGGGACACCCGCGGGACACCGGCGGGACACCGCGCGGCACCAGCCGCTGGAGGAGTAACATTTGGTCCGGCCGCGGCCCAGCCACAGGAGGATTTCTTCTCGCCCGCCCACGCAGCTTCGCCTCGCCCGCACGCACGCACGGCACGCACGACACGAACCCGAAACCGAAATCGATTTCCCGGTAGGGGGGGTGTCCGTTTCACGTCGGACTCACCCCCGAACCTCCGATATATATATATATATATATATAATATATATATAATATATATATATATATTTTTTTGGACATTCGATTGTGGAGTCTTTACGAAGCTGAAGGTTTTTGAAGGATTCTGGCATTCGCGCGCGACGACGCGGGCGTATGCGCATATTTTGTTTGGCTGCAAGGGATCTTTGAAATCTGATGATTTTTGATGCAGGAGTGTGAGCGCAAATTTTTGGCAGAGGATGGCAGGGGGTGTGGATGCCGGCCCCCTGGGATGGTATGAATTCATTTTTCGGATGGACGGTGGGGCAACATCGCATGTAAATTGTAATGCGAAAGTGGGGGGTCGATAATCTTGGGTGGTGGTGGTTGGTAGAGTTTATTTTGTTAAAAAGCAAGGGGGGTGTATGTGGCGCGATGGATTTTTACCCATGCGTTGACACATCCCATGCTTTTGCACACATCCCACCCACCCACCCGCAAGTTGGTTTGCAAAACCCATGCGGTGGCGATTGCGATGCATGCTTGGCGTTGGCTGGTGCATCTCTGCGGCCGCGCCAGCCCGCGCATGCTCGCGCGCGCAGCGGCCAGCTAGTTTGGTGCGACCGACGCGGCCGCGGTGGCGCTAACCGCTCGGCAAATCCCAGCGGGCAGTTCAGTGCGAGTCGGCGACCTGGGCGGGCGCGGTATCATGGCAACGTCGACAGCAGTAAACACGATGATGATAGTAGCGATACAGATGGCGATGTTGACAGCGACGACGAGGCAGCCAGTGCGGGTGCCGATGCTGATCACGCCCGCGACGATGACGGCGTCTTCGCGTCGGTGATGAAGGTTTTGGAAGAGGTTCGAAATGCGCGCGCGGCAGATGCGCGAGAGTGGCCCGCATGGTATTATTTGACACGGGTCGTGCCCCCCCCAGCACGCGCGCAAAGGCGTTCGAACGATTTCGACATGCGCGCGCGAAGCCCGCTTGGTATAATGCCATAAGCATGTTGACGACGGAATGGTTCTCTCAAGACTTCGCAAGAACGCACGTGCAAGTTTTTCTTGGAAGTCCGTGTTGCGAAACCATGAGTTTTTTGTGTGTGTGTATTTTTTTTGGGCACTCGATTTTTTTGGAATCACTGCGGGCGCGAAGGTTTTTGAAGGATTTCGGCACGCGCGCGCGACGGCCCGCGCGACGTCCCGTTTTTGCAAGGGATTCTTGAGAACGGGTGATTTTTGATAAACGAGTGTGCGCGCATAGTATTTTGTGTCAGAGGATAGCGGGGGGGGGGTCGATGCCGGCTCCTGTGGGATGGTATGGATTCACATTGAAGATGGACGATGGCGCAGAATCGCATGTAAACGGCAATGCGAAAAGGTGGACCCATAAACCAGGGGTGGTGGATCTTATTTCTAGGACTATTAATTTAACCGAACGACTTGACGCATCCCATGCTTGCAAGCATCCTACCCACCCACCCGCAAGTTGGTTTGCATAACCCATGCGGTGGCGACTGCGATGCATGCTTGGCGTTGGCTGGTGCATCTCTGCGGCCGCGCCAACCCAAGCTCGCGCGCGCAGCGGCCAGCTAGTTTGGCGCGGCCGACGCGGCCGCGGTGGCGCTGACCGCTGGCACATCCCAGCGGGCACTTCAACGCGAGTCGGCGACGTGGGCGGGCGTGGTATCATGGCAACGTCGACAACGGTAAATGCGATGATGTGACGATGTTCGCACTGACGAAGGCTCGGCCAGTGCGGGCGCCGATGTTGATCGCGCCGCCAACGATGACGGTGTCCTCGCGTCGGCGATGAAGGTTCTGGAAAGAGTTCGACGTGCGCGCGCGGCCGACGCGCGAAAGTGGCCCGCATGGTGTTATTTGACACAGATCGTGCCCCCCAGCACGCGCGCCAAGGTCGCGCGAATGATGTCGGCATGCGGCGCCAGAGGCCCGTTAGGTATAATTCTATATACATGTCGAAGAACCGATGGTTTTTTTTTTCAAGATTTTGCAAGAGCGCGAGCGCACATATTTTTGAAAACAGGTGTTGCGAAACCATGTGTTTTTGTTTGTTCGTTTTGTCACTCGGTTTTGACATCGTTGCGCAACTGAAGATTTTTGATGGATTCCGGCATTCGCGCGCGACGACGTGCTC